AGTAAATAAATAAAATCTTTTAAAACAAAAACCCTCAATGGATGCCATTGTAATTAGAATAAAATCCAAACTTCTCACTAGGGTTTACACAAGATATTACACAAGATATTATCTCTGCCTATCTCCTCAATCTACTACTGTTCCCCTCAATCAGCCAGAGTCCTGCCTAGTTTCTTTCATAAATCAAGCATGTTTCTGCCTCAGGACTAACACTGGCTGTTCCCTCTGCTTGGAATACTCTTTCTTCAGATCATTACATGACTGATTCCTTCTCAGGAATTCCTTTTCGGTGTCATCTCTAAAGAGAAACCTTTCCTGGCCATTCTACCTAAAATATTACACTACTCTAACTCCATTGTCTTCTTTTAGTTTGTTTATTGACTTTATCTTTACCTAAAATTATCATATTTTTTTCTTTTCCATGATTATTGTCTTCTTCCTCCCACTCGAATGTAAACTTCATGAGGACAGGAAACTTAGGGAAGCAATAGATCATAGTGGTTAGGAGCATGGCTTCCAGAGCTAGACTGTCTAAATTCAAATCTCAGTTCTGCCACTTATTAGCCGAGTGACTCTGGGAAAGTTACCTAACTTCTCTATGCCTTAGCTTGCTCTTCTATAAAATGGGAATAATAACAGTAATACTTCTTTGAGTTGTTGCAAAAATTAATCTGAATTAATACATGCAAAGCATTATATCCTCAGTATCTAGAAGAGTGTCTGGCATGTAGTAGGTGGCCAAGAAATATTTGAAGGCTGACTGCATGAATGAATCCTTGATGCCTCCTACTTCTTCCCTCCTTTCCTTCCTAGTTTCCTTTGGGAAGATTTTCTCTGACTATAACCCTGCCCTCTGCCCAAGACTAAGTTCGTTCCCCTGTTATGTCTACTCACAGAACCCAGATTTCTTCCAATCCCTAATTGCTGGGTATAGCTATATATTTGTATGTGATCTTTGTAATATAACTGGTCTCTCTCCAAAAAAACTGCAAGCTTGCTGAGGGCAGGGCCTATGTTTGTTATATCTATTATGGAATCTCACCTGCATACCATAATGCCTGACATAATAGGTACACAATAAATACTTTTTAGCTGAATGACCCAAAAACTTTGACTCATTTTTCTCTAAGAAATGCTACTTAAGAAACATGATTTGAGAAACTTAATAAGTACTCGACAGCACTTTTTGAAAGGCAATTCAGATTTAAAGTTGTTGTTGCACCTCTGCCTCCTCTTTTTGTTCAGTTCAGTTTTGAAGCACAGAAAAAGATACATGAATTCAAACATTTTGGCCTCTACTCTTAATTCTTGATCTACTTCCTGAAAGCATCATGTCAGCAAGCAACTGGCTGGCTTCTCCTTTGCTAATTCCTTGCATTTTAATGGTATTCACCCCAACATTCCTTGCCCTTCTTACCTATGTCTTACTAATAAGGACAATGTTGGTCCTGATAGGACTAAGTTTGTTTCTCCCCACCACCCCAAATCAATCAGTTTTTCTAATAAAATAATGCATTAGAACTCACTGTTAGCACAGCTCCTATATATTCTCTCATCCATTACAGACTTCTAATCAACTGAGAGTTATTGAACACTTACTATAGGAAGGCTACCAGCTTGGCTTGAAGATATTGTTTTAAGTACTGCTTTAGGAGAAGGGGCAGAAGGCTATAATTTCTTTCTATTCCCCTCTCTTATCTTTAAAAATTTCCTTCCCTTCCTTGCTAGCCTGGTTTCTTACAACTCAGTAAACAGCAGGTGAGATACCTGTCATTAAAGAGGTCAGGAAGCCAAGATAAACTCATAGAAGTTAAGCGGCTTAAGAACCCTTTCTTTAATTGGATACCTTGATTGTTACACGTAGCACAAACTTTCCAAGCTTTAGATGCTCCCAAGATCCCTCCTTCCACATTAACTGTAATTTCCTTTTAATGTCTATGGATTGGGGGCATAGGACATACGTGGCCCTCTGTAGGCTCCCCATATTGGAGAATACCACCTGGCTAAAGTAACAGAGACATTGGATTCCATGGGGACCACAGCAGCTTGATACAGGTATGTGGGGCTACAGGAAGAGCACAAGGTCCTGAGTTAGGAGTCCTGTTACTGTGTCAGATGGGGTGGGTGACTTTGGACAAGTCCTTTGCCCCTCTTGGCCTGTTTCCTTGGTTTTAGTGAGGTTTGAAAGACAAGATATTTGCAAAATTACTTTCAAAATCAGACTGTGAAGCTATTAATACATTTAATTTAAACAGATGCAAAGCCACATCTAGACCCTTACCAGATATGTGAACAGAGCAAGATTAAGATTCAAAGAGTAAGTGGATAGTGAAAGAAGAAACATTAGTTTTAAAATCTCTAAGGAAATTCCTAAATTGCTTCCGACACATTACCAAACGCACCTTCCATTTCTCTTCAAACCAGAGTTAACTCATATTATAAAGCAATTTATGTTTGACATAAGTACATACATCTAAGACCCCATTTTACTTTTGATCTCCGTATTTTTTCATACATATTCCCTTTTTAATCTACAATTAACTTGGTTCAACCTGAGCCCAGGCTCTAGCTTTGTAACTTAATGTGTGGCCTTGGGCCAAGCCACTTTCCTTATATGAGTCAGTTTTCTTCCTTGTCAAAGGGGATGAATCTACTTACTGCCTTCATAGTGGTTGTGAAGATGAAATAAGGGACTGCACATGCACCTCTCAGCACAGTAGCTGATACAGGCCAGACATTTACAGGGACTTGTTCCCTTTACCCTCCTTTTACAAGACAGGGCTGGGGCCAATTCTTGCCTCTGGACTCTATGGTAGGGTAGCTCAGACCCACAGTCTTTGTGACCAACTAACTGTAGAGTCTTCAAATGCTTGCTAGTAGCACTATATGACAGGGATCTTCAAGACCGTGAAAAAAGTATTAGACAACACCTTGAGAATTTCCTGGTTGTGAAAGGTATGTCTGGGATCCAAAGAAGAGAGGGGCTTTATTTTTTTCCCTAGAGAACTCTTTAAATCAGTGTGGACATTCAGAATGTCCTGAGATTTATATTCCACTAACTTTTCTCTAGCACCTAAAAAATATCAAGTCCTGTATTCTGCACCACTGGGGATGTTTTCATTGAGTACTCACAACAAGCCCTTAAAGTTGGGCTAAATTGGTTCATTTTTCAAATGAGAAAACTGAGGCCCAGAAAAAGAAAGAACAAGCTCAGAGAGAGTTCTGATTCACTTTAGTTGGGAGTGAACCAAAGTCCTCTTTTGTCTGAAGCCCAGCTCTCTGGGCCTGTGCTGTCAGAGTAACTATTTCTTATATGCTCTCATCGCCTCTAAATCATTTTCCACTTTGCCTCTAGAGTCACCTCCCTAAGACATCCTTCCAATCTTATTACTCCCATGCTTTGAAACATAAAATAATTTGGCATTATTTGGCACACAGTAAGCATTTAATAAATGTATATTGAATAAATGTGTGCCTATATGATTAAGTCTAAATTCTTTAGTGTGCCTTTCAAGGTCTTTCACATTCTGGCTCCAACCTACCTTTTCTACATACTTTTCCCACTCCTCTTTCCTACCTCCACACCCCATATATGAACCTTATACCTCAACACCATGGCCCACTTGTCCTTTCCTTTCTATATCTGTTGTGCCCTCTCCTGGAAAGTCCATCCTCCTCAATAGTGTGGCAAATTCTCAGTCACTTTTTGAGACCTATTTACATCTTCTCTGCTCAGGTTACACCTTATCCATTCCTGTATTATGATAGAATACTGCACTATAATTAACGGGTCACCTTACAGTCTCCCGTTCCTCAAAGCCAAGGACTTGTTTTTATTTATTTTTGCCTCACCCAGTGACCTCCCCCCCCCACTACCTCTTTCATTGACTGGCAAAATCTGTCCACAAGAGCCAAACTGTGGAAGGAGCTGAGATGTCCTTCAACAGATGAATGGATAAAGAAAATGTGGTTTATATATACAATGGAATATTACTCAGCCACCTGAAAGGATGAATACCTACCATTTGCATCGCCATGGATGGAACTAGAGGGGATTATGCTAAGTGAAATAAGTCAATCAGAGAAAGACAATTATCATATGGTTTCACTCATATGTGGAATATAAGAAACAGCACAGAGGATCATAGTGGAAGGGTGGGAAAACTAAATGGGAAGAAATCAGAGAGGGAGACAAACCATGAGAGACTCTTGACTCTGGGAAACAAATTGAGGGTTGCGGAAAGGGAGGTGGGTGGGAGGATGGGGTAACTGGGTAATTGGCATTAAGGAGGGCACCTGATCTGATGAGCACTGGGTGTTATATACAACTAATAAATCATTAAACACTACACCAATTTGAATTTTAAAAAAAAGAATAAAAAGATCTGAGCTCAGTAACTGTTTTTAGAATGAATGGAGGGCTGGAAGGAACTAGGTCACTCCCCCATTCCCCCAGCTTTAGCAGCTGCTCCCTCCTTCCTCCCCCGCCTCTTCTCTAATCCCACCCCCCTCATCTCCATCTGAATGCCAAAGCCACTAATTCCCCTGCAGCAGCCAGAACTTTCAACATCTCAAAAGAGAATTCTTCTGCAGGGTTTCTCTCCAGCGAGAAAGCATCCACTAATTAGGGACTCCTGGTTATCTTTTGGGAGTGGGTAGGCATAAGGGCCCCGGGAAGGGAAGGGTATGAGTACGTCTCTTATCTCTCCAGTTGCCTCCTGGGGTATTTTTTCCCATTTTTTCCTCAGGGGCCAGTCGAATATCCTCGTTCCCTTGAACACTTCACAACCTTTGACATAATTATCTGTGACAAATTGATTTAAAACGTGACAGCAGGAAGAGAAACAGGACTGTCTCGCTTGGCCTTCTGGGAGTTGTAGTCCTGTTGGTCCCTGGGCTGCCTGGCTGGTCCTGGAGCTGCGGACTACAGCTCCCAGGGCTGCTCTGAATCCCTACCGCACAAGCTCAGAACCCCATGCCCGGAGGCGGTGGTTACGTTGTGTCTATTGTATCCCTGGTCGTGTGTGTCTGTACATTTCTCGGGACGTGAAATTGAGAGTGAAAAGCATGGCAGATGAGCAAGAAATCATGTGCAAATTGGAAAGCATTAAAGAGATCAGGTAAGTGGAACATTGCAGCGCCCCCTCAGACTCCTTGAGGCCCCCAAAATACCCCGCTGCGGGAGAGAGCTGAGTTACCTACGGAAAGTATCTATTGTTAAGCTACTTGTGGAGAGGGGCGGGAAAGGAACACATTCACGGAATTCAAGGATGGAAGTGAGGCTGGAAAGTGTCGGGACTGAGGCTAGCGGAGAGACTGACCAAGAGAGACCTCTTGCCAGATGTCAGAGAGAAAGCCAGATGGAGACACACGGGGGTTGGGGAGGACGGGGTGGGGAGTGGGCGGTGGGTGGTGGGGTTGGTGTTGGTTCCAAGACAGCTTTTTTCATCTTGGGGTGGGAGTTGGGGGACAGCATTCTTAGATCCATTATTTTTTTAGGGTTTGTTGGCTCCATGGTGTATGTGACTCCTTGCTCTTTCGGAGTCAAGATTTTTTTCAGTCTCCTGATCAACTTCAGGACCTAGAGCTCAGGCTAGCCTTTTGAAAGCAAAGTCCAGCACACTGGGGCTGGTGGTGGCCGCCAGAGACTGAGAGCTGGGGGTGCAGAAGTATCCGGCAGGCTGGGACTGGTAGGACTGCAAGCACTCGCGCGTGTTTATTTTTTGCATTCACACATTGACCACCTTCTTCCTCTCCTACCCGGTACTCTGTAAGGGGGATGGGAGCAATGGAGACGGGGGTAGGCGGTGGCTGTGCCAGATGGTGGGAGCTCGGCTGCAGCTCTAAGATGCCAGAGGTGAAGGGCAGGCCAGCAAAGTGGGAGTTGCCTGCGTACTGACCCTTTCTTTCCAGGCGCAGCTTTGGCAAGGTAATGATGTCCTTACTCAGAACACAGTATCGCCAGGCAAGTAGACTGTCTGGGATGACACCAGGCTTTCCTTCACCTACTCTGCTTTGCCAGAACCAGTCCCCCTCGCCGGCCCCAGCTTCCACCCTCATGTGAGGGTAGCCTGAGTTGGACAGTCTCCCTTTAGTGCTTTCATGGAACCTGGGGAAAAGGATGTGGATATCAAGTGTGTCTCTTTAAGAAATAAGACTTTAGACCAACTCCAAGACTTAACCCTTGGAGTTGATGTCTTTGGAGAAACTCACACATGTAGGTGGTATAGGGAAGCACTTGAGCTTTTTTGTCCTTTGGAGGGGTTGCATCTCTACTTCTACTGGGGTGTAAAGGGAAGGGAACTATTATTTATTGAGCACATGGTGTGCCAAGTTCATTGACCCACTATTGCTTATTTCAGCAAGAGTCCTGAGAGCTTCCTACACCTCATTACAACTGGGAAAATGGAAGGTCAGAACATTTAGGTAACTTGCCCAGAGCCAAACAGCTTGAAAATGCCAGATTTTGACAGGAACCCAGTCAATTTGTGTGCGGAGGCGCTGGTTTTCCCACTCTATCCCACAGAGGGTGTAGGAAAGGCTTGCAGTGGGGTTATGTTGCAATATTTTTCTGCAAAATCATAAGGAAATAAGGAGTGAGATACTTTGGTGTGTCAGAAGGCCAGCTATCATAACAATATAGCTAATAAGAAGCTTAAGCCTGCAAGTGAAGAACCTAGATTTCTGTTCTTACTGGACTTTAAAGAAACTTCTTTCCCACCCCAAAAGACGGTACAGTTGGGAGAAAGGGAAGTAACCCTTCCCAGTGCAGACCACATGGGGAGCCTCTATCCTTACCATTATAAGTCAGGCATTCCTACTGCTAGCTGGGATGGCTACATCAGTGGCCTACAGAGAGGGCTGAGCTCCCACCAGCAACCAGCAGTAACAAGGAGCCCCTTGCAAACCTGGAGGTCAACCAGAGACCCAGTGGAGAACCTGAACTTAAACTGCTCACTTGCTGCAAAAGGAACATATCAGGTCTGCATAACCAAAAGATTTAAGATATCCATTGTCCAAATATAATTTTTAGAAAAATCACTTGCCATACCAAGATTATCAATTTAAATGACAAGAGAAAGTAAACCCTTGTGAACATTGAGATGACACAGATGTTAGAATTATCTTACAAAGATTTTGAAGTATTCACTAAGTGATTGCAACACACTTAAAACAAATGATAAAATCAAATATCTCAGCATATAAATAGAAAGTCTTAGCAAGGTTATATAAAACATAAAGGGGAACCAAATAGAAATTTGTGAACTGAAAAAATACAATAGCCAAAAAAATTATACAAACTGAGTGGATGGGCTCCACAACAAGATGGAGAAGATAGGAAAAAAAAATAAGACAACTTAAACATCAAACAGTAGAAATCTCACAATCTGAATGAAGGAAAATTAGATTCCAAAAAAATAAGAAAAAAAGAAAGAATTAAGCAGAGCTTCCAGGCCTGTGGGACTATAACAAAAGATCTAACATTTATGACAACAGAATCTCAGGAAGAGAGGAGAAAAATTCAGGACTAGGAAAGTACTTAAAGAAATAGTGGCTAAAACTTCCCAAATTGAGCAAAGGACATGAACCTCCATATTCAACAAGCAAAACAAACACCATCAGGATAAATGTGAAGAAATTCACACCAAGACACATCATAATCAACCTTCTGAAAACGAAGGCAAAGAAAAGATCTAGAAAGCAACCAAAGAGAAAAAACACTTTACCTATACCTTCAGGGGAAGAAATTTAGAAGACAACAGATTTCTCATCAGACACTGATGAGGCCCTAGCAGAAAGTGACACAACATTTTCCAAGTGCTGAAAGAAGAGAATCATGAATCCTGAATGAAATCCCAAATGAAACCCCAAATCCTATGTCCAGTGATAATATCCTACATGAATAAAAGGATTAATCAAGACATTCTAAAGTGAATTGAAGCAGGGAATTTACCAATAGGAGGTCTACCTTATAAGAATGACTAAAGTAAGTTCTTCAAACACAAAATAAACAATAAAAGGAATTTTGCAAGGAAGAATACAGTGAGCAAAAGCATGGGTAAATACAAGCGAAGTCTTTTCCTCTTGAGTTGTCTGAATTATGCTTGATGATTGGATCAAAATTTATCACACTGTCTCATGCAGTGTGATAAAGACATTCATGTCACAAATAGGGGAGTGTAAAGGGAGGTGAGGTTTGTATATTTCACTTGAGCCGATACAATGATGACATTAGATGACTGTGATAAATTACGTATACATAATGTAATAATGAGAAGAAACACTAAAAAAGCTGTACAAAGGGCTGCACTCAAAAACATTATAGATAAATCAAAATGGAATTAAAAAAATGTTCAAGTCACCCACAGGAAAGCAGGGCAAAACAAAAAACAAAAACAAAAACAAAAAAAACTAAACTAAAACCATATAGAAGAAATAGGTAACTAAACCAGATAGAAGAAACAGGTAACTAAAATGGCAGGCTGAGCCTTAACATATCAATAATTTTGTGCATATAAATGGTCTACATACACCAATGTGAAGGAGTGGATTTAAAAAGAAAACAATCCAACTATATACTATCTATAAAGAAATGCACTTCAAATATAATGATATAGGTAAGCTGAGAGTAAAAGGAGGGGAAAAGATACCATAGAAACTTTAATTAAAAGAAACCAGGAGCAGCTATGTTAATGTCAGATAAAGCAGATTTCAGAGCAAAGACAAATCCCAGGAACAGAGTGGGATATTACATAATGAGAAAGGGTCAAACCACCAAGAAGACATAACAATTCTAAATGTGTATGCCCCAAAAGTCATTTAAATTAGCTTGCTTTAGACAAATTTACAGTAATATACAAAGGTTACATCACTTGGTTTAAGAATTTAAAGTGGGGAGGGTGCCTGGGTGGCTCAGTCGTTAAGCGTCTGCCTTCGGCTCAGGTCATGATCCCAGGGTCCTGGGATCGAGTCCCACATCGGGCTACCCGCTCAGCGGGAAGCCTGCTTCTCCCTCTCCCTCTCCCCCTGCTTGTGTTCCTGCTCTCACTGTGTGTCTCTCTGTCAAATAAATAAATAAAATCTTTAAAAAAAAAAAAGAATTTAAAGTGGGGAAAGTACTATAAATACATACCTGATGTTCACACATGGGACAGGTAAACATGTATGGGAGGGGGAAAGAAGGAGGGAGCAAAGGAAGGGGTAGAAGGAACTGGAGAAAGGAGCTCACATTTGTTGATCACCTAATTTCAGAACTCTTGGCTCATTTATATTTAATTGTCCTAGTGGAAATCTGTGGTAGGAATTATTATCCCCATTTTATAGTAATGATACTGAAGTTCAGAGAGGTTAGATAACCTATCTATGTCACACAGCTAAGAAAAGGAAGAGAGAATACGTCCTCCTATTCACATGGCATACGCATTTCAACAAATGCTGATATCTCATTAACTATTTTTTACAGTTCTTTAACTGCTCTAGTCTCAAATCCCTAGAAGGTATGAGCAGAGCAGCCTATTTCTGTTAAAAAATAATGATAATGTCACTTCTGAGCTTAAGTAGCAGTGATGATGGCAACATAATCAAAAGACCTAAGACAAGCTGGAAGCTAGACAGAGCCCACAGGGCCAGGCCCAGAAAGAAACTCATTCATACTCAGTGTTCATGCATACCAGTGGCAGAATTTGAAATGGGAAATATTTCAGGAATAGATTCTCCAACCACAGACCATTCCCAACTCCTGACTCTGACCACAGGTCCAGCCCTGTCTTTTCTCTCAATCCCAACCACACTCCCAATACTGTGCTTTAGACCATAGCCCCCAAATCTCACACTGGTCTGTTTTGCCAACCCATTCATTAGGCTTTCAATTGGTGGCAAAGGAACATGCAGATATGTAGAAAGGGGACAGGGAGAATAGAACAAAAGAAAGGAGATAGAAAAGAGGGAAGAAAAGAAGCTATGAGGCAGAGAAAGTGAGTGCAGCCATCACTAAATGAACCAGAGCCCTTCATCAGCTCCCCAAATGCATACTAATATCTCCTTATCATGCACATTCCATTCATACACACATTACATCCACCCATGCCCTGGTGCACACATATCTATACACAATGAGTTT